ATCCCTCTTTATAATCAACTCTGTTTGGGTGTTTCTTATATTTGATAAACGATGCATCTCTATCTTTAATCATGTTTAAAATGTTATGGGTCATCCAAGGTTTTTTAGGTGTTTTATTTTTACTAACTTTTTTATCATACGTACATTCATTATACGCTTTTGTAAAGTAAGAGCAAAACATTCTGTACTGCTCATCAATATCATCTATATTGTCTACAGACTGCCAGTCCATTTGCCCTAAGACCTGTCCTAGCTGGTGACCATTGACAGCCTTGTATGTCTTATCTACCAGATAAGCTGGGCAGGAATCGTCAGGCTGGATGTTTATCACACAGGCGTAGTGGTCAGCACTTAATACTTAACACACTTAACACTTACACTTAATATACAAGGTATAAATAGTAAGACGTCAGTACTTGAAAGTTTTATTAATAACCAACCTAATTTAGCTTTTATTTGTCTAACTGAGCACTGGCTCGATGCTAATGTTGTTGATCTCTCATCACCAAAGGGGTTTTACTGCGCTGGTGCAAGCTGTAGAACCAACCATATCCGAGGTGGTTCTTTGATATTTGTCCGAAATAACTTCCAAAGTAGACCTATTGATGTAATAGACTTTTATGACGAGTTTAATTTTGAAATAACAGCAATTATTATTGATGAGCTCAAATTAATTGTTGTTGCATTGTATCACTCAACTGCTGGCAACCCTAAAACTGTTCTTGACATATTAGATCAGTTTTTGTTTTCAATCTCTCAGTGGAAAACCTATGTGACTGTTGTAACAGGTGATTTCAATGAAAATGTTGATGTACTTAAAGACAAAAAAACATCAAACATCAAAATGTTTTCTTAACCTTTTAAAGCAATATAATTTTTATTGTTATAATTTCAGCCCAACCAGAGGAAAAAATTGTTTGGATAATTTTTTTGCTAATTGCCCACAAGGCCAGGTTAAGTTTTGCAGGATATTTACGTTTCCCTTTTCTGATCATGATGGTATTTTGGTAGGAATGGAGTTTAGGAAAAATAAGCCCCCATCTCAAAAAAATTAGAGACAACCCAATCGATGATGAGAGAGTTAAATGTATAGATTTTGTGGTTCCTAAGTCTGCTTTTGAAAAAATTAACTTAAGCCTTTTGTCTTATAATTGGGAAAAACAGTTCTTTGGTAACTGCTTCACAGATTCACAACAAGCCTTTGATATGCTTTTTAACACAATAATTAACAACCTATTGCAATTTTCTGTTAAAAAAAATAAACTTCATAAAAGTAAAGTAAACAAAAAATCTGGTTGGTTCACCAAGGACTTAAAAGTTATGAAGGAAAGAATTGTGTTTCTGAAGAGCCTGCTGAAAACTTCCAGTCAGCCAGTTTTAAATGTTATGAATTATTTGAATGATTATAAAAAAAAGTACAGGCAATCTTTGTATAAGGCTAAAAAGGTGTACAATGCCAAATATATTGAAGAAAGTAAAAATAAATGTAAAGCGGCCTGGAACATAATTAAAAATCATAGTTGTGGTTTACATAAAGCAAACAACCATCACATTGCACCAGATGTCTTTAATACCTTTTTTGTAGAAAGTGTAGCAAATATTAAAAAACAAATCGGTAACACTAAATTTACTTCCAGTGATTTTCTAAGATATACAAATATAACCCCAGATCTTTTCCAATGGAAACTTGTAAATCCTGAAGATATTATACGGGTTGCTAAAAGACTTAGTAATTCAGACAGCTGTGATGTATATAATATGAGTAACAATTGCCTAAAAAGTATTATTCCTAGTATTTCAGTACCCTTGGCATATTGCATAAATTTTTCATTGATTGAGGGAGTCTTTCCAGATCAGTTAAAAATATCCAGGATATGCCCAGTTCATAAGAAGGGCCCAAGGAACGAACCTTTAAGCTACCGCCCAATTTCAATAATTCCAGTAATTTCAAAAATATATGAAAATATAGTTCATGATCAAATCTATTCCTTTTTTGAAGACAATAAATTTTTTAATCATTGTCAATTCGGGTTTCGAAGGGACAAATCAACAGTCCAAGCTGTAGACAAACTAGTTCATGAAATTATTTCTTCCTTTGAGACCAAGTCATATGCCCAGGCCACGTTCTGTGATCTTAGCAAGGCATTTGATTGTGTTGATCCAAATGACCTAATAAAAAAATTAAATTACTATGGAATGACAGGCTCTGCTCTAAAGCTCATAAAATCTTACTTATCGAATCGAAGGCAAAGGGTTTACACTGATGGTCTCTGGTCTCAAGAAATATCAATAAATGTGGGTGTGCCCCAGGGTTCGGTCCTGGGTCCACTTTTGTTTTTAATATGCATTAATGATCTCCCAATTTCAGTTAATTCCTCAACTATTCTTTATGCAGATGATACAACCTTTTTCCACAGTAATAATGATTTTGAACAGCTAAATTTATTCTCAAAAAATACCCTCACCACATCATCGGACTGGTTCAAAGCAAATGGGTTTCTCTTAAATGAAAGTAAAACATAGAATGTTGTTTTCAGCCTAAGACCCCTCCCTAATAGCGGGACTGATATCAATATCGCAGTTAATTCGGTGAAATTTTTGGGCATAAAAATAGACAGTACTCTTACCTGGGAATCTCACATTGATTATATAACACCAAAACTATCAAGAACAATATTTCTCCTAAGACGCCTGGTTCATTGCTTGGAAACAAATTCTGTTAGAACTGCCTATTTTGCCTACTTTCAATCAATAATTAGATATGGATTAATTCTATGGGGTAACTGCAGTAGAGTGGATGAAATCTTAATTCTCCAAAAAAGAGCCGTTAGGGTTATCGCTGAATCTGAACTTGATGAATATTGTAAACCTCTTTTTGTTTCAATGAAAATTCCTACTATTATTAATCTGTATATCTTTGATTTAACTGTATATGTAATAGATAACACACAAATACTAAAATTCCATGAACACAGATATAATACTAGAAATAAAAACCATACTTCCATTGACTACCACAGGCTCTCAAAATCTATAAACAGCCATGTTGTTGTCGCTCCAAAGGTTTACAATAAACTCATTGGCCTTATCTCAAAATATGATGTCAAACAATTCAAGAGAAAGTTTTATACTGGTTATTAATAAACCCACTTTATTCACTTAATGAGTTTTTTTCTTGCCAAATTGCTTTCTAGATCGTTCTAAACACTTAAATACAAATCCCCACACTCTATTAATTAATAGTCTCTATAAATTATTCTTCACTTTAAAACTATTATTGAAAACTAATCCTCTCTTTTTTATTAAGATATGATGTTATCAGAAATTATTTTATATTTTATCTGTTATTGATGTTCCAGGCCAGCTTGAAGGAGAAATTGTTTGTTTAGTTGTTTTGTTCTATATATTATATAATTTAAGTTTAATTTTATATTCACATCTACTTTAATTTGCTTCATGACAATTTGTAAAATGCAATCTGACCTATCCTATTGTACTTTATTGTACCGAATGGAAATAAATATATTTGATTTGATTTGATTTAACGAGTGCTTAGGTTTGCTGCTACGGGGAAGGTAAAAAGTGTTTTTTGACCATACGTCAATAGTATAGGATGAAATAAATAAATTTGCCAAATTTTATCAACATATATCCATAAACAAGTAAACTACAACAGTTTTCATTTTCTCCATTAAAATAACATGGGAATTTTAAATTACACTTTTTTAAAATTTTCTCCGTGACCGTTAGGCATACAACAACGCTTCAATATACAAAATTATTTCTTTTTTTAAGCTCTACAAAATGGTTTGGAGAGAAATTTTTTTTTTTTTTTGTTTTTAGGGTAAAAAATGGGAAAAATCAATATTTACCCCATTAAACCCCCGTTTCCATAGTCCGATTATGCTAAATCGCGAACTCGTTTGAATAAATGTAGGTTTACATGTGTGTACCAAACTCCATCAACATCAGATCATTTTTGCTCGAGTTATTGCGCTAACGGACATATATATATACATATGAATTTGAACGGATGGTGTTTTTGGCCTCTGGGGACCTTAAAACGAAAAAGTAAATCGGTCCTGGCTCCAAGTCTTACATTGAGTACTACGAATAGTACCCCCCCCTATGATGGAAACCCCCCTATATTCCCCCCTACCTATATCCCCCCCCTATTTCCCCTATATTTCCCTATATGGGAAATTTGCTAAAAGAAAACTAAATACGTAGAGATATTAAATATTTAAACATGTATTATGAACTAGCTGGGAAATTCCCTAAATCAAATAATTAAGTATATTTGAAGCACAGTTGCATAGCTAATGGATACATAGAAAAAATAAAAAAATAAAATAAAAAAATTCTATGTACGCTTAAACTTAAGGAGAATAAAATTAAATTTTGGCAGTTTACTTGTTAAGGTAGGGATATCAATCAAATTTGGCAAATTTGTTTATTTCATACTAAGCTATTAACATTTCAATAAAACCCCCACATATTGCCATCCCTGTACCAGAAAACCTAAGCACTCGTTAAAATTCATAAATGGATCATTAACTGACCCCAAATAATACATGGGTAAGTGTTATGTACCTACAGAGAAGAGTCAGTCTAGTGTTGTTGTTGCATAGTGTTGACCCGTACCACAGAGTGAGGTCAGTGTTGTGTACAGAGGAGAGTCAGTCTAGTGTTGTTGTTGCATAGTGTTGACCCGTACCACAGAGTGAGGTCAGTGTTGTGTACAGAGGAGAGTCAGTCTAGTGTTGTTGTTGCAGAATAATGACCCTGACCAGAGAGAAGGGTCAGTGTTGTGTACAGAAAAGAGTTAGTCTAGTGTTGTTGTTGCAGAGTGTTGACCCGAACCACAGAGTGAGGTCAGTGTTGTTTACAGAGGAGAGTCAGTCTAGTGTTGTTTTTGTTGCAGAGTGTTGACCCGCACCAGAGAGAAGGGTCAGTGTTGTGTACAGAGAAGAATCAGTCTAGTGTTGTTGTTGTTGCAGAGTAATGACCCGCACCAGAGAGTGGGGTCTGCAAGAACCCGGCCGACCCCTCAACACAGTCAACTTTGAGTCCCCGTCCCACACTGGCACACTGCTCACAGGACTCAACACTCTCAGGGCCAAGGGACACCTCCTGGACGTCACCCTTGTAGCTGAGGGAGAGGCTTTCCAGGTTTAAACTGTTTACTTGTCTGTTTAAATTGGTTTTGGAACCTGACTACTTACTACTAATTGTTGAGCGGAGCGAGCGAAGCTCTTTGAGATCGGACCTTATGCAAACTATGTAATCAATTAACTCAATAACGGCTGAACATATTGAATCCAAACTTACCAGGGGTATTTCGACAAATATTTTTGATGTTTCGAAACAAACAAATTTCAATTTGATGATACCTGTACAATTTAAGACTGACATAAAATTTGCAATGTTTAACATGAGTCTTATGAGTTGCCATGATGGATACGAGATAACAACGTAGATGTAAACAAAGAATAGTAGCGTATGCGACTCGACATTCTGTACCCACGGGCACCTCAGCTTGCACATGCACATATGGCCAATTTACAAAAGACAGTACAAAAGAAAAGGAGTCCGATGAATACCATTAAGCGTTGATTAACAATACACCGATTCGCATAATTTCTGGCGGCCTTACTATTTCAAGCAGATTATTTCTTTTAATTGTTGTTATTGCTATTAGTTTTGTGGTATATTAGTCCGGAGTGTGGTAACTGTTTGTGACGATTAGGGATTAGATTAAGGTATCTGTTATCCTAAAATGCTATGGGAAGGGAGGGAAATAGGTCCGCGACGTAGGAAGTCGTGAAGGAAGCAGTAAAGGTGAGCGGTCCGGAGTGTGGGAATTGTTTATGACGATTAGATTAAGATATATACAATCCTAAAATGCTATGGGAAGGGAGGGAAACAGGTCCGTGACGTAGGAAATGGTGAAAGAAGTAGTAAAGGTGAGTAGTCCGGAGTGTGGGAACTGTTTATGACGATTAGATTGAGGTATCTACAATCCTAAAATGCTATGGGAAGGGAGGAAAACAGGTCCGTGGCGTAGGAAGTGGTCAAATAAGTAGTAAAGGCGAGTAGTCCGGAGTGTGGGAACTATTAATGACGATTAGATTAAGGTATCTGTTATCGTAAAATGCTATGGGAAGGGAGGGAAACAGGTCCGCGGCGTAGGAAGTGGTGAAGGAAGTAGTAAAGGCGAGTAGTCCGGAATGTGGGAACTATTAATGACGATTAGATTAAGGTATCTGTTATCCTAAAATGCTATAGGAAGGGAGGGAAACAGGTCCACGACGTAGGAAGTCGTGAAGGAAGCAGTAAAGGTAAGCGGTCCGGAGTGTGGGAACTGTTTATGACAATTAGATTAAGGTATCTGTTATCGTAAAATGCTATGGGAAGGGAGGGAAACAGGTCCGCGACGTAGGAAGTGGTGAAGGAAGTAGTAGAGGTGAGTAGTCCAGAGTGTGGGAACTGTTTATGACGATTAGATTAAGGTATCTACAATCCTAAAATGCTATGGGAAGGGAGGGAAACATGGTCCGCGACGAAGGAAGTGGTGAAGGAAGTAGTAAAGGTGAGTAGTCCGGAGTGTGGGAACTGTTTATGACGATTAGATTAAGGTATCTACAATTCTAAAATGCTATGGGATGGGAGGGAAACTGGTCCACGGCGTAGGAAGTGTTGAAGGAAGTAGTAAAGGCGAGTAGTCCGGAGTGTGGGAACTGTTAACGACGATTAGATTAAGGTATCCACAATCTTAAAATGCTATGGGAAGGAAGTTAAATAGGTCCGCTGCGTAGGAAGTGGCGAAGGAAGTAGTAAAGGCGAGTAGTCCGGATTGTGGGAACTATTAACGACGATTAGATTAAGGTATCTACAATCTTAAAATGCTATGGGAAGGGAAGAAAACAGGTCCGAAACGTAGGAAGTGGTAAAGAAAGTAGTCAAGGCGAGCAGTCCGGAGTGTGGGAACAGTTTATAAGGATTAGATTAAGGTATCTGCAATCTTAAAATTCAATGGGAAGGGAGGAAAACAGGTCCGCGACGTAGGAAGAGGTGAAGGAAGTAGTAAAGGCGAGCACTGTGGAGTCTGGGAACTAGAAACCAATTGTAACAGTTCGATTTCTGTATCTGAAATTGAAATACTGAAATGCTATGAGATGGGATAGAAAGATGTCCAAGACACAGGAAATGGTTAAAGAATTAGTAAATGCTAGCAGTGCGGAGTGTGGGAAATTTTGTTGGCAATTAGATTAATGTATTTAAAATACTAAAATGCAATGGAAAGAGATGACAACATGTCCACGACGTAGGAAGTAGTAAAGTTTAGCATCGCAGAGTGTGGGAACCGTTAGTGGCAGTTAGATTAATGTATCTGTAATACTAAAATGCTATGAGAAGGGAAGGAAACAATGACGTAGGAAATGGTGAAGGAAGTAGTAAAGGCTGGCATCGCAGAGTGGGGGAATGATTTTCCCTGAGCAAAGCTCGGTCTCCAGGTACTTAGTTTATAAACAGTAAAAGAGAGTATTCAAATTGAAAACAATAGAAACTGTATTTTCGAAACAGGAATGCAGTATTTTCAAATATTATTAATGGTAGCCTATCCTAAATAAATACAGTGATTTGCTGGGCTTGCACCCTAAAGTCCAGTTGCGACTACAATAAATAAATAATTACCTAGGATTTTATAGAAGTCCACTTTAACTAAGGCGTGTAAATAATTGGTTAGGCTTGTACAGTTACGATTACGATGCGTAGGCCTAATGCATAGACTGCTAGGCCTATACAGAAGATCAGTTATAGCTATTTATTATCTATCTATATAAATAAAATTAGAGTTTTGTCTGTACATTGCTCAGAATCATACATTTTTAGGTTATTTTTACGTTTTATACATTAAAGAAGCCGAAACAAGTCTCATCTAAATTTCTGTCTGTCTGTCTGTCTGTCTGACACACTCAAGATGGCATTTTACGCAATCTTCTCCAGGAAAACGAGAGTACCTATCAAGACCCAAGTCATTTTAATGTATTCACTGGATTGGCGAGAGTGTCTTTAGCCATTAAAATATGGTCTCACTACTTTGTAATTAAAATTACGGCCGTTCAAAAATGCAGTTTTGTGCGATTTTTGTCAAGTTTTCTTCCAATTTGTATCACATAATCATCTATGAAACAACGAACAGCTGTTCGGATCAAGATTATTTTTTCTAGCTGTCACTGAAATGTTTACAAATGTTGTTTACAAACACCACAACCATTTCCGATCACGTTTTGAAGGCAAATCCCATCCAAGTGAGATTATAAACGTTTTTATTACATAAAGGATTTAATTAATCGCAAGTGGAATAATATAGTGTAACCGTAAATTAAATAACTGGGCATCATCCAGGTCAGGAACCAGAAATATGTGTATAAAATTGTTTTGGAGTTTTGATAACCAGAAAGAAGACATTGAATCAAGATTGAATCAGTGTTGTATACGGCTGGGAAACTTAAATTTACTAATGACCGTCGCCAATAGCTTAGAAACAATGTTCCACTCATTGACGGCTCTTCAATGGTGGTTGTGTAAAGTGTAAAGCAAAAAATTACAACTGCAGTGGGTGATTGTAACAGAGGTTTACGGATGATGCTGAACTCGATTTTCCAATGTGTCACTTTCTGTTCCTACCATTGACTATATAAAGTCAATAGTTCCTACTCACCGTGTGATGCAATCGCTGGACCATACAGCCAATAGGCCCATAGCCCTTCTCTTGGGTACGTGTGGTACGTATGCTTACCCAATTATTTATAACAACCCTTTCGACAACGATCCTTGATACCGGTACTTTTCCATAGAATACACGGCCTACCAAGGTACTTTTTTTTTTTTTTTTTTGTCCTGGGACGCTAGGCACGAGCCTGGGATTGTTTTTCACATTACTTCAGGCTAGACCTAGGGGTTGCGGCATTATCACTTAGATAAAATCCATTGGTGACTTGGCGGGGATCGAACCTGGGACCTCACGGACCGAAGTCCCGCGCTCTAGCCACTACGCCAGCTCGCTCCCCCACTACCTAGGTACTTAAGAAATAAAATTATAAACGTCCAAAAACCCAACGTTGTGTGATTTTTGTCACATTTCCTTATAATGTTAATATATATACCAGCAACCATTGTTTAGAGAATACGTAATCTATTAAATAACAGAAAGTTATGTTCAGGGTGTCTAGTAGTCGGGAAAATCGGGAAAGTCGGGAATTAGTATTGAATTTCAAAATGGTCTTGAAAGTCGGGATTTAGTCTTAAATTTGATTTCAAAGTCGGGAATTTTCATGATTTTGCCGCGATCGTCGTCTTGCGTTTACGTAACCGCAAAAGCCAATGATGATGTCTACACGGCCTCGGGAAATGTTCACGATTTTGCCGAGATAGTGGACGACGACGATGACGTTTCCGAAACCACGAAAGACGACTGTGACAGCGGGAGACTACGATGACGTATCCGTGACCGCGGTAGACGACGATGACGTTTCCGTGACCGCGGGAGACGACGATGAAATCTGCTCGGCCGCGGGAAATGTTCATGATTTTGTCACGATCGCGGACGACGACGATGACGTTTCCGTGACCGCGGGAGATGACGATGACGTGTCCGTGACCGCAGGAGATGACGATGACGTTTCCGTGACCGCGGGAGATGACGATGATGTCTACACGGCCGCGGGAAATGTTCATGATTTTGCCGTGATCGCGGACGATGACGATAACATTTCCGTGACCGCGGGAGATGACGGTGATGTCTGAACAGCCGCGGGAAATGTTCATGATTTTGCCGCGATCGCGGACGAGGCCGCGGGAAATGTTCATGATTTTGTCACGATCGCGGACGACGACGATGACGTTTCCGTGACCGCAGGAGATAACGATGACGTTTCCGTGACCGCGGGAGACGACGATGACGATTCCGTGACCGCGGGAAATGTTCATGAGTTTGTCGCGATCGCGGACGACGACGATGACGTTTCCGTGACCGCGGGAGATGACGATGACGTTTCCGTGACCGCGGGAGATGACGATGACGTTTCCGTGACCGCGGGAGATGACGATGACGTTTCCGTGACCGCGGGAGATGACGATGACGTTTCCGTGACCGCGGGAGACGA